TTGGAAGAGGAAGGCAAATACTGCTTTGCGAGTGTGGGTAGATAGGTCAGCATGATTGAACAGTAATAAATCATTTAAAATAGAGAAAATTTTAAAGAGAATGTCTCTGGAACAGAGTGCACAAATGTTTATGGTTCCCAGTCCTAAAATATGATCTCCTAGCACATACTTTCCTACCCCTGTATGTTCCTGTGGACTTCCCTGAGATATAAAAGTCTGCGCTAGCTGATCATACGATCAGTAGGGCTCAAGATCCTTAATCATTGAATTCCATTCCTATACTCATCGCTGTATAAAAGTTACCCTGCAGGGAGCCCACATCCAGAAGAGTCTGTAATATAGAGATCATATAGATGCAGAATGAACAGGATGCACTGGCGAGCCCAGAGGAAGGGTTTCCCTGTTGACTCGCTGCTTTTGGGCATCATGGAAGAAGTGAGTCTTAGCTTAGAATAACATTTATGGGAGTTAACCAGAGGCATTTGCCAAAGGAATGAATCTGTTGCTTCCTGAAATACCCTGTAGTACTGTCTAGTATCTGATTTATAACAATAGTGGAGGTCTTACTGCAAGGTTGTTTTTTTTTGTTCTTATAGTGTCCATGGAAACAATTTAAAATGAAAATTACAGGGCAAATCCTCGGGTGGTGCAACCTGCCTTGGCTCCATGGAAAACGACTTGCTTCAGCTCGGGAACTGCCTTCTGGATGCTGCCATAAGTTCTGAAATTGTTTGTGTTCCCACAAACAATTATTCGTTATTTTAGATCCATTTTGATTGACTAGCCTTTTTCTGAAAAGGTTTGGTCCATTCTCCTTCTCATCTGAGTGCTTCAACATATTGAATCCCCCTTACCTATGTTATCTTAAACACACTTCCTCCCAGTTCACTAAATTCATCAGCAGACTTAAGTATAAGTTATTTTTAAAAAATGGCCCTGATCTCTGGTTAAAAAGTGACTTTCAAATGACACGGGAGGCAACAATGGAATTGGGTGGCACAGGTTTTTAGCTGTACAGTATTTATACAGTACCTGTAGCACATGCAACCTTGCTTGCTCTCTGACCCTTCTCCAACATGATTCAATCATTGCACATACTGCGATAACCAGTCCAAGCAGACTCTAGGTCTTAATGCTGGGGCTGTTAAAACTCTTGCCTAAAATCTCTTCTCTCTCTTGTTTTTCAGTTGTATCACTTTGAACCCCACAGCCCTTCAGTCTGCAGCATACGCAATTACTTTATACATTGCAAAGCCACGTCCCTAGAAAACTGAGACTAGAACCCCAGCCCCTTGTCAGTCAAAGCACAGGCTTCTCTCTTGACCTAAAGGAACTGTATTTGTACTATATTTGATAATAGTAGATCCCTTATCTAATCAGTATAGCAACTGCATTATTGTATCTGCAGAGGTCCTGATCCAGTAACAGGATTCTTGTGTAGATCCCTGTGACCTACACAGTGTCCCACTGAAGCCAGTGGGATTCTGCGCTCAACACAGTATCTACCCTGGAAGATTGAAATGCAGTCTGGGCCAAGGGCAACACATAAAGGGCCTATATTAACATATGCTTCCCTGTTTCTGGTTTTGGTCCAGTCTATTTAATGTCAATGGGAATGAACTGTTTGCATCAGGAGATTTTGCCTAAGGTATGTTACTAGCCTGATGCACGTTAGTAACTCCCAAGTAATCAAACCATCGGTGTTCTGTCCCAAACTAACGAGATCTGGAAATGCAATTCAATTCCCAACCTTAAGGCATTCCCATGAAAGGCATAAAATAAATCTTATATGAAAGTGCTGCCAAAGTAATTTGAAATAAATCAGAAACCAAAATATATGAAACCACAAAGTGTCCCATTTTATGAATGGCTTATTCTCCAAGTATCTCAGATTTGGATAAACTTGCTGGAGGGGAGTGGAATCCATTGCATTTCTAGTGTTTCTTTTCATTTCTAAACAGCACAAAATAGACATTTTGTCACAGTGGAGCCAGTGAGTGAGGAAAGTAGAAAGTTGAGCGGTTTATAGAGAACAAAATATTGAAAAACAGATCATAAAAGCTGATTCATGATGACGGAACATAAGAGCCAGATTTAGGCTGCCAGTTCTGCTTACCTTGCTGTTGAAGAGAGATTCTGATCTTCGTCAAACTTTAGATTTCATGCTCTAGCCACAGTCATGAAAGGGGAGCATTCTGCATGCATTTCATGGTCTGGATGCCTCCAGTTCCTGCCAGGGGCAAGAAGCCAGATAACACCAGTGCTCCTCCTTGCTCCAGACAAATATACTCTTTTTCAAGGCAGGAATAATGCTCACACTTTATTTAGTGAAGAGCCCTGTGTGTCCCTTGAGGCTGAAAATGATTAATAATAATCTCTAGTGCTTGGCCATAGCTTCCAGCATCCAAAAATCAGACAGGGCCTGAATTTGGCTCCACATAAGGCTAATTTATATAAGAAATGATGCAGAGTTGAACAGTGAGTTGTTGGTTTTGGTATAGGAAATGTCCTTTCTGGGGCTGTGGATGGTGTGGTTTCTTCTTCCTTGCCTGGAAACCTCCAGAAGCGACCAAGTCAGTTGGTTGGAGAACCCTTTTGCTTTATTCTCAGCCCAAATCTAATCCTTCTTCTTATAGAGAACATCATTCTTAGTAGTGCCGGCATTGTAAAAGCAACAGCCCTGCCACGTGCAATCCCGGTGTGAGCGTGTTGCAAACAGTCCACAGTCTCTCTATTGTGGTAGAAGTAAAACCAAGTGAGAGATCTCCATGAGAGAGGGAGGTAGCCAAGAGCTGTTACAGGGTGTAATTTTATGATTAATGCTACTTTTACTGGGATGGGGAGGTGAAATCTCCAGTCGATCCTAAAGAAGACTTCCTTCTGATCCCAGTCTGTTTGTCAAAGAAGTTTCAGTTGCTGTACCAAAAGATGTTTCAAGTAGTTGTCTGTCTCCTGAGACATAAGATTATTATAATATAAATAAAGACTCAATGAGATCCAAAAAGCGTTACTTTTTGAGGGCAATGAAATACAAATCATCTCATCAGACACAATGCACGTTCTCACTAGATAAGCCATGCTATTGGTTATTAGAGCAACTATGTGACAGCATTAATAGAGGCTATGAGGAGAACTTTAGAGGACAAATATATAGCTATCAACAGTTTATATAGTTGGATACATGTTTATTGGCAGCTATCCCGTATCCAATTTGTAGTATTTTATATTGTCCTTGTGAAAATTAAAACCAGATTGGGCCTTAATACAAGCAAACAACACAAAAACTAGACCTTGTTATGAGAGAGAAGATTGGGCTTAGAGTTTGTATAGTCCAGACACAAATGCCACCTGAGCATCTCATGTCTTCCCAAGGGGAAAATCTGAAACATTATAGAATATTGGCATTAATGCATGAACAGCAGGGAAAAAGTTATGGTGATTTAATAATCAGTATGATGTTTCATGCAACACTGGAAAGTGATACATAATTTGAATGGTAGTCAGGAAAAGCTGATCAGTGACGAGGAACATGTTGCCTCTGCTGGAAGCTCTTAGGATAATTGCTATCATGCAGCTGCTGCATGCTATAGCTGCTTTTTTTTTTAATTGTAGAAACAATATTTTGTTTTCTCATCAAGACTCAGCTCTGAAACTTTTTACATTTCATGAAGGCATGTAAATAAGCTGCAGTTTTTGGAGGAGTCCAAAGGACTTAGCTGCTCAACTTCCTTTGAAACAGGTCCTTCATTATGTGGGGCTTTTTTTAAAGTGAGAAACTGAGTCTGCAAATAGTGCCCAATCAAAGGCTCGCTGTTGACTTGAAGACAACAGAAGGGACAATTTTTGCCTGATCTAGCCACAGAAAGTGATCTATAGCTGTGACCAAACATAAGTGCACGGCTGCAGACCACTTAAAAAAATGGCCCACTGAGTGAAAATCTGAACCCTCATTGCATGAGGGGTCACATGAAGACTTTTCAAAACAGAGCATCCTCTGTAACTTCTGTCTGTGCTGCCTGCCGCCGTTTTCAGAATGCGAGGCGGGAAAGGGAGTGGAGGGAGTTCAGTTTGGGGGTATTACAGCCCTGCTGCAGGGTGAAGCGGGTGTACTGAAGCCCCTCCAAGGTGGGGAGCTTCAATTCACCCACCTCACCCTCCGGTGTCAGCTGGGGAACCCCTCCAAAAACTTTGCAGCCTTGCAGGGAGGAAGGGCCATTGTTACACAAAACCGGCTGCGGGCTCCTAACCAGTAACTAGATTCTTCTCCCCCCTGGAATGAACAGTGAACTTCTGTTTGGTCCGGGGGATCGTCGTAATTCAGAATACTTTCTGCAAAGCGTTCTCAGTTACAGCGGAGACCTGTACTTCTGTCCAGGGCCGTCCCTGCGGGGCGTGAATCGGTGTAACTGCCCCAGATCCCGCACTTTGGGGGGGCCCCGTGGAGCTGGGCAGAGCGGCCATGGTGACTTCACACTGCTGCTGCTGGCTTCATGTCCAGCTACTCACTACCCCCCAGCCCGTTGATGGCGGTGGCAGCTTCTTTGCATCTGGGGTGTGCAGGATCAGGGTGGGAGCGGGGTCCCGCACGGGCTGATTTGCCCTGGGCCCTGCACCCTGCTCAGGTCAGCTCTGCTTCTGTCTGCACCCTAAAGGGCTCAGAAGCTGATGCAGGGCTAACATTATCCAGCATAGCTGCAGATCATTGTCTTCAGAGAAGAAATGGGCATCCAAAAATTGTGACTACATCCGAGAGTATGAATATTGAGCCTAGTGCTCAAACTGTGGTAGCATCTTCATTCTTGGCAAAACACAGTGGCCCTCTCCATAGAAAACTATTCACTTATGGTAGCTCAGATTCCACCAAAACTTGGACATCTACTCCCCTAAACCTCTCCCCTATGGTTTACTCTGAAGAACAAACCATATGTTTTTACTCTTCCATGTCCTCACACTAAACATCTTTTTTCATCTTTTTTGTTGTTGTTTTTCCTCTTGTATAGATTAATCCTGGGAGTAAGGCAGCCATGGCTAACCTCTGCCCAGGAGATATTATTCTGGCAATTAATGGAGAGAGCACAGAAAACATGACTCATCTAGAGGCACAGAACAAGATCAAAGCATCTATGGACCAACTGTTGCTATCTGTGAACAGGTAAGTGTCCTTACACACTTAATAACTCATCCAGTACATAGTTGCTGTGTCCACGTTTGTATAGAAATGTCCGTTCCTTGAGGTGTTCATCTGCAGCCACGAGGCAGCTGTGACTGTGTTCCTGTTCTCTTTTGTTTCTCTTTGAGAGAGACGGCATTGGAAGTATTCAGTTGTGGTAGTTCACAACTGTGTGGACTGTGTGAAGTGGGGTTCCCCAAGATCTAGTACAGTTTGGCATCTTGACTGAGGATGGATTGGAGTGCACGTTTGGTAAAACTGTGGATAACATCAAGCTTGTGGAGCAGACAGAAAGAGGGAAGGATTAAGATTCAAAATAGCCTTGATGTATAGGGAAAACTGGCCTGAAAGAAATAGGAAAAGTGTCCCTATGGGCAAGTGCAAAGTATTTTACTTAGGATGGAACAGAAGTGCATAAATACAAAGCAGGGAATGACTGGCTAGGCTGCAAGGCTGCAGAAAAGGCCCTGAGGGTTGAAGAGGACCACAAGCTGGGTCAGCAATCTAATAACACTGCAACAAAAACCTATTTACATGTTATATGCAAGTCACTAGGAGTGATTCCTCCATGCTGTTCAGCTTGGGAGAACCTCACCTCAAGTCCTGTGCCCAGTTTTGTGTTCTGTACTTCACAAAAGATGCAGAGAATTTGGAAAGAGTCCATGGGATCACAACAAAAAATGGGCAGAGGTCTTCAAAACTTGATGTAGGGAGGTTAGAAAAATTAGGATTATTTTGTCTGGAGAAGAGAAGATTTAAGTGGAGATTTGATAGCTATAAATAGGGAAAAGAGTTGTTACAAGGACAGTTGTGAGCAACTGTTCCCTTTTCCTCCAAGAAAAGGACAGAAGTAATTGGCCTATTGAAAAAAGGGGGATTTATGTTGGATATTAGGAAGAGTTTTCAAACTCTAGAGGTGGTTAAGCACTTGAACAGATTATCTAAAGAGCCTATGGACTCTGTCACTGGGTTTGTAGGTTAGACGGATGTTTGGGGTGATCCTTCCTTGAGCAGAAATTGGACTAGATGACTTCCTAAAGTCCATTCCAGCCCTATTTATCTATGATTCTGTGTTTGTTGGTATTTGAATTCACATCTGCACACTGTAGGACTCCTGGCAGAAGGAAATTTATGTCTGGTGGGACAGCACTGAAGCCTTAAAACCAGTGGCAAAATCTTCTGACTTCATTGATAGCAAAATTGGAACCAAAGTCTGGCTTGGAGAAGCATCCCATCCTATGAGTTTTCTTCCTTTTTTTTAATGGGCAGCTTGTTAGTTAACAAACCTCACAGCATTCTGCTAAGTCCCTTTATTTTAGAACAATTTTAAAGCAAAATAAAGTTGTATATTAATGCATTTTGGTTTTGCTGCCGTTAGAACTCATTCCATGGCCAAACGTTTCTAATTAAACCACAGGTTTATTTAATTGTTCAGCAGAATGAGTGATCTTTATAAGGCACAACAGTGACTAATGTTATCTTTAATAGATTTAAATAAGATTATAAGATTTTTCCACTTCAAGTTAAAAAGGCATTTCCTCATGTAAACAGCTACTATTTATTGTTTATACTTCCTTCTAAAAACTCTTTAGCTTTCTGGACCTGGAAATCCAGTATGAAGTTATTAGCTATTAGTGTTTTACAAGCACTATTCTTTATTGGAGAGTGTGTTTTTCCTTCTGTACAGCTGCCCTAAATGAAACAACCCTCTTTGAGAATGGAGTGCATTGTGGTAGGTCCTGTACGAGCAAATGAAGGTCCCTTCCCAAATGAACTGAAGTATTTGTTTGGAAAAACACCTTATCAGAAGGAAGGTTTTCTACAGCTACAGAGAAACCATTTTTCTGCATATCCCTGCAAGTGGCTCACTCAAGCAAGACTGACAGAGCACTTGACACCAAACGAGGGTTATACCAAAAGTGTAAGAATGAGGACTCCCTCATATCTCCACCAACAAGCTAGAAGTCCCTTCTCCGCTCCTTCTCCCCCTTCTCTGTTCCACAACACGGCAGAGAAGGCAGAGGTGAAAGTCTTGCTGCAACTATAAGTTACGCGTTGAGGGGCTATTTTCGAAGGAGCAAGTACCTTGGAACCTTTTTTTTTTTTTTAATGCTGAACTGGAGCGGGGCTTCATTATTAGTGATCAACAGAAATGCATTGAAATGGAGTCTTCATTTGACTATAAGTGGATTTAAGTTCTGTGTGATTTCATTGATGCCCAATCCAAATCCCTACAGATGTCACTGAGTGTTCTGTATTCAAGTGGGAGCTGCATCAGGCCCTATGACCCAGCCTATGTTCAGTAACAAATATTTTTTTAAAATGGAAATGTGGAGCTGTTATAAAGGACTCATTAAACTTAATGGCTGGGGGCAGAAGTTATACATAAACTGGTTTAAGTAATGAGAAACTGGTTTAAACCTGTACAGAACAGAAGTTCAGTACACATAAACCAGTTTCAAAATGGCTGAAATTGGTTTAAGATAAACTTGGTTGAATGTGGTATCAAACTGACGTAATTTGACTGACGTCAAACCAGTTTATAAAACTTCTGTACTGGACCCCTTCCTGGTTCAAGTTAAATCATAGTCCCCTAGCATCCCAGCATGCTCTCCAGCCCTGGGCTGGACTGTGCTGTCTGCTTCAGCAGAGAAGGGTTGGCAGGGGTGGTGGGAAAAGGGCCGGGGGAAGAAAGCGCGGACTGCCCCCTGCCCCCCAGGCAAACCCCAGCTGGAGTCTGGGGCAGGGAGTGGGGGTTGAACTTCCCTTCCCCTGAGTACAGAGCTGCCCTGCTAAAAACATACTGCTGGCTGCGACTGTGGACTACAAATCCCAGAGGCACCTGGATGCAGGAAGAGGAAGTGATGGGCAACCCTGCAGAGTTCTGTTGCTGTGAGTCTGGGCTGCAAATCCCAGAGACCTCAGGGGCAGCAGGAAGAGGAAACGAACACACAGCCCATGCTGGCTATGTGCCAGAGAGCTGTGCTGTAGTTCCCCTGGCTTCTGGCCTCAGCCACTGCAGGCATGTAGCTGCATTTCCTGAATCAAAAGTGAATGTCTATGCAGTTGTTTCTCAGCTTAATCTCTGCAGTTTAGACTAACCGACAAAGACTGAATAGATTCAGCCTTGGGCTTTTTGACTGTCTGTGCTTAGTCAATTGGTTCACAGTTTCTTCCAAAGGGCTATTTTATAAAACCCCCCAATTTTATTTTTTTTTAAGTTAAATGACATGAATATATTTCATGATATGGAATAAGATCAAATGAGCAGTGAATAGAAACTTTGTTGCCAGAGCAGTTTTAAGAGAGACTTCTTTCCATTTAGAAAGGCCAAATATAAAGTTAAGTTGATGACTAACATCCAGTGTTGGAAGTAGACCAGCGCCCAACCAGGCTGTGCTTAAATAATTCCGGAGAGGTCTGATGGAAAATCGGACACAGTCAGGCTCTGCTGTGGGAGTGGAATCCTACTGGAAACAGCCAAGTTTGGTTAAAATATCTAGCTTTTATATAACATTCTGCATCCGTAGATCTTCTTGGGTTTACAAGGGAGCTCAGCATCGTTATCTCCATTCTATGCCTGAAGATGCTGAAGTAAAAAGAGAAGTGACTTGCCCTGGAGGCCCAGAACTGAATGCAAGTCTTCTGAGGCCCAGTCTAGAGCTGCTTCCATGTACTGTTTAACAGCTTTTGAGGTATATCAAGGTGTTGCTCCACTGGGTGGTCAGAGGTGTTCGAATCTAGGCTGAATGTCATCAATGGCATGTGAGAAAGTTCATCTTTTGCACAGCTTTATTATAGCACAATTCTCTACCAGTAAGATTCATGGTTGTACTGGTCAGCAGATGTGTGCTACAATCCTATTGATCACAGCTGTGTTTATATACGGTTGTAGCTAACATGTTTCTACACTAAGTGTTAACTGTACCGCACTGAAAGTTGATCTCCATTGTGATAGTTTTGTTTTTACCCCAGTCACATCAGTGGCTGAGAGAAGAAATCCGAGTTGTACTGCACCAGCGCAACTGTCTGTCACGCAGAGTCAGTTCTGGAGAAGGAGCTGACACATGGGTGACTGGTGCCACCTTAGTCAGGGGGGGCACATGCCCCCCCCAGCAACCAGTCAGTGACCGGGGGGGGGTCCCCTGCAGCTGATCTCGGCAGCCGGGAAGTGGCTGCAGCATTCCCGGAAGTGGCTACGGTGCTCCCACTCCCCAGCTGGCGCGCTCACAGGGTGGGCAGTGGCACTCCTGCCTGCCCCCCTTCCCATTGCCTGAGCATGTGCACCCGCTATGCATCTCCACTAATCTGACAGCTGCTCAGAATGCTTTATAGTGAGAAACTAAACAAGGCCTTTTTTTTACTTATCTAGGAGAACCTTAAGAGATAATGGAAGCTCCTGTACGTGAAGGGTATTTCTGATACTAACTCTTTGATCTAATAAGCAAAGGCAAAACATGATCTACTGGCTTGACGCTATATCTAGATAAACTGAGACTAGAAATAAGGGGGCTATTTTTAACATCTGGCGTAATTTTGCCTTTACAACCATCGACCAAGAAATGTGATGGACTCTCTGTCGCTTGAACTTTTGAGATAAGGTGCAATGTTTTTTTCCAAAAGGCTCTAAATCTAAATCAAAACACGTATTACTCGACCAGGAGTTCCATGCTTGATGCAGGAATTGCTAGGTGCAATGTTCACATCTTCTGTGCAGGTGTTATGACTGTGTTTGTAACTGTCCAGCTGACCTTAATGGCACTGAACTGGTGAAAATGGTAAAGGACCTGGTAACGTCATGTGGCCAGTTTTGGGGAGATAAGAAACCTCTCGGTGTCCATGCACAATATCCATTCACTTCTAGGAGAGTAGTGCAGATGCATCTAGGAGAGAAACTGGATCCAAAAGGACTGCTTTCTTCATGTATTAGTTTAAGGACTAGATTTTGTAGCTGTTTCAAATCTGGCTACCTAATTCTTGAT